ATTTTTTTATCTCATGTGTACATATCTAGACTAGTTACTGAAAAAACTAAATCACCATGTAAAATAACTACTCATACAAACCTAAATTCCAAAAAAAACAAATGAAAATGAAAATTGGAAAAAGCAAATTTTCACATTTCAAAAAAGTCCCAAATTTTCATACATCTCGCCCATCAGGAAAACAACGCCAGAAAAAGTCAGGGCGGGGTCGGCCAACTCCATTTTTAATGGAATCTGTGAGAACTGCCGTTATCAGCACCGAAAATAGAAGGCCTACAGTTAAAAATCGGTCGAATGTTATAAAACCTGTATCTCCCCTTGTAAATATCAAATGGCTAAATGAGGAATGAAAAAAATGGAATTACTTTTCAGGAGGGAAAAAAACATCCATTGCTCACCTTTCTACAAAATGAAAAAAGTGCAGAAATATATGAGATTATCAAGAAGGTTGATATTATAACGATACCTAGTATACTATGGTGCAGGTCATAGACATCTCGTCTGCGGATATAGTAGAGAACGAAAATGAAAATCGGCAGCAAAACTGCATACAGCTAATCACCCACAAAAGACAAATCCAATGTAAGAAACAGAAAATCTAAGGAATGACAAATTAGATTCCTCTGAAGAACACTCACAGGGACAGCCCACACAGGTACCGTGTTTTCTTTCATAGGATACCTAAGATCTTCCATCATGTCTCGCCCAACAAAACGGTAAAACGGGTGAATTATATACAGAACAATCTCTATTATCACGAGCAGTATTAGTATCAGCCAATCATGTTTGTGATTCCTCACGAGCTGTCTCCCATGAGACTTTATGGTATGTTGGCATTCGAGCACAACACCATTTGGTCTGACCTGCTTAACGAGAACACTAGACTTTTTAAGCACCATATAGTTTGGTAAAAAAGTATTATTGTAAAAACAGAGAACAATTTCTGAAAATTGAAAAAGATGGGCTAAAATTAAGAGCATGAAATCCTATTTAGCCTTGTGCTAAAAGCAAAAGCTAAAGGTCGAGTTGGTTAAACATGTAGTGGCGAATAAGTCGGATGGGTCCTCATTTCTTTGTGAAAGCGAAACGAAAAAAACTAATGAGCTCAAAATGGTTTGCTTTATGATGATTGCAAACACTCCCTTTGTTGTGGAAAAACAATATCCATGCCTTTAGATAACACCATATTTGTGAAACAGGATATTTTATAATCATGGTTTAAAATCAAGGCCTTAGCAATTTTCCCATCAAAACACCCGTCACTTAATCCCTTTCGCTAAAATAAGGTGCAGAAATCCAAAAGGGGACAGTTAAACATGCTGAAGGAAATCAAATCACAAGTCACCGATTATAAACTACTTTGTGTCTGATATCAAATCACAAGTCACTGATTATAACCTACTTTGTGTCTGATAGACTGATACCAAGTCAAACACAAGACTTACAAAAGGCCAAACCTTATCAGCATTTAGTTATTCTTAAGATAAAAGAATTATGTAAAATAAATAATCTTGTCCTCAAGATGCTAACATCAGCAAAAACACAGAAGTAAAATAACACCACACACAGACCTGAAACATGTTCCGGAAATTCGGAGCAGGGCAAAAAGAGATGATATTGTTCAAACCCATTCGCGTACAACTGGAAACAAACCAACTACTTGAAGCTCGAGTATAATCTTCAGACTCTGAAGGGTAATTAACCCAGAGAGAGAGAGAGAGATGTCAGTTTATAGCAAAATCGTGAAAATACAAAGGAAACATAAAATTCTAAACCTAAATAGCAAGAAATTAAGAATCCTTCTTTACCCTGAACAGTTTCCCAAACAACAAAGGAAAATTTTCCTTCGAGTGGTAAAAAATTAGTGATGGAGCATAAGAAAAAAAGATAATGATTAGCAGATATTTTCTTTGGCTTTGCTGTCAAGGCTTTAAAAACGGGGACCCAGTTGCACCAAAATTGAGACTCACTGTGCCTGTAATAAGTTTTCAAAGACTACACAATACAAATGGAGGCGCGTTCTGTTCTGTGCACCAAAATTGTGGAGATAATGATGCAATGAAAACTAACCAGAGAGCTGGTGATTTGAAATAAAACGAATAGGCGCCTTCTGTTCTGTGCAGTGAACGGTTGAGCAAAATTGTGTAAATGCAGTTTATTAAGGGCTTAATTGCTTAAAAAACCGTATTGAAAACCTTTTTAATATTATCACTAAATGCCCAACTTTTTTTTTTTTTTTTTTACTAGTAATCACCCGTGCGATGCACGTGGATATTATCACTTGTAAGCCTTTTACAATTATATTTTGTATATAAATTGTGTAATAACAAAATGATCATGATCATAAGAATAGACATATAAACATATAATTAAACTGAAAAGATCCTATATTATTGAACACTTCCCTATATACAATATTATTGGTTTGATTCTTTGTCACCACAAATTAAGATTTTCAAACCCTTTCGATTAGTGACACGCGAGACAACATATAACTGGTCATGACTGAACACTGGTTTCTTAAGGAATAAGCCAACATGAGATAAGGATTGTCCCTGGCTTTTGTTTAGAGTCATGACATAAGAAACCATAATGGGAAATTGTCGCCGCTGGAACTTGAAAGATATTTTAACATCAGAAGGAGCTATGACCATTCTTGGAATCAACACCGTATCACCAGCATGATCTCCTGTGAGTGTCTTACACTCAAGAACATGAGTGGATAGTTTTGTCACAACCAATCGTGTCCCATTACACAAACTCATAGAATGATTCATGTTCCGCAATAACATAACTGGAGTTCCAATCTTCAAATATAACTCATGGTTCGGTATTCCGGAACACTTGATACTGTTTGTCCCATTTTTGTTACGATTTTCTTTATTGTTTTGCTTCTCTTTTTCCACCGTTTTAGGATTAGTTATTTTTAGTTTGTTTTGTAGTTTATTATGTGTTTTGCTCTATTTTGGTTTACATGTGTTTTTCGTGTATTTTGTCGGTTTTCTACGTTTTTCTTCTTGTTTGATATGTGCAGGTCGAAAGCCCTGTGAGGAATGGATTTAGCCCAAAATCTGACCCGGCAAGCATGGTAGAGTAGAAGGGTTCGTTAGCTACATTTATAAAGAAGCGAAACTCGATTTCGAGTTCAGACGAATCTAAACGGGGCCGAAACGTAAAGTCAAACAAGATGCCGACCCTTTGAAGGTTGAAAAACTCTAGAGGATTGTACTATTGGAAAAATCTGGTCATGAAAGTATCACTGAATAGAGAGGTTCGTTAGCGATGCGTAGGAAAAAACGGAACCCAATTCCGAGTTCGGACGAGCCCAAACGAGCCCCTGAAGCAAAATAGTGCAGTGCAGGAATCAGCCACCACGGCGCGGCGCAACTGCCCACCACGGCGTGAGGCACTCTCCGCGGCGCGGCACGACCTCTCTCTGCACCGTGGCACCTTCGCGACCCCGACAGTCACGTCCCAGCACGTCCTCCACGCTGCGAGAAGCCTCCACGCCGCGGCACGCTCCTGCTCCACGCTGCGGCATAGCCCCGCGCCGCGGCACCTGGCCCGTCCGCGTCGCACCAAGATTTCCCACGCCGTGGACCCTATCTGTTATATATATGAGCGTACGATTTCGATCAGAATGATTCTCTCTCCTTCTGGGAGATGAACCCTAACCCGAAAAATACACGAGACTCTTTTTCTCTTCCCCTCTTCTTCTTCTTCTTCTTCTTCTTCTTCTTCTTCTTCTTCTTCTTCATTTTTCTTCTTCTTTTCATCTTTCTCTTCCATTTTTCTTCTTCTTCTTCTTAGCATTTAGGAATTAAAATTGTATTTTGGATCAACAACTGAAATTTGGATTTATTGTAAGTTTTTCTCTCTTTATTAATTCATGAATAATGGTTAATTTGAGAGCAATGATTATGTGTGTTGAATTCGCTATAAGTAGCTAATTCTGATTGCTAGGGATAGGGGATGATTATTCTTGTTTGAATTGTACTTGTCGGACTTGATTCATTCGTGCTTATGTGAGTTAAATAAATTCGGAATTGATATATTCTTGCTTGCTTGATTGATATTATCGAAGAGTGACACTTCGATATTGCAATTGGAAACAATTGAATATTAATTTGTCGAATTAGGGTTTGTTGATTTTATATGATTAGTTGATTAAACACCTTCTAATTGAATTAGCGACTTTTAGAACCGAAAGGGGAGAAGTCGTAGACCTAGGCTCGCATGAGGTAGATGATTTCGTAATTGAATAGTCTATAGGTTTTGGATTGAAATACGTGCTTGTCAATGACCCGTCCCTTGTTACGAAAATTTATTAGGATTGGATAACTGACCTGTATTGTATGCTCGAGCTTGTTCGTCTGTGTTCAATCCATTGTTGCGAAGAGTTATTGGGAGCGAACCGCTAGATGTTTAAGCGAGAGTGTCAATTTAGATCAGAATGATTAATGTCCCGGTGTGAAAATAGAACTTGAATTAATTGTCCCTGACTCCCTAGCTTCTTCATCTTTATTCGTTTATATTCTTAGGTAGATTATTGTTTTATTTTATTTCTTAGTTAATAAATCATCCAATCTGCTAATCTGATTAGAGTGTTTAGGATTTATTTTCTTTTTGTGTGAAATCTGTACCGAAGCTAAATTCTGAACCGCCTTCCTTGTGAGATCGATCCGAGGTCGGGAGTCATCCCGTACTCGGTTAAAATATATTTTGCTACTACAGATACAATTCAAAAACTCAGGCGTATGGAGATCAGACAAAAAATCATTATTAGAATCCGATTTGCACGTACTACCAGAGCTCAAGTACATACGACCATCCAACAAATTCAATGATGTCATGTACTCATTGATGGACTCGACCACATCCAATGTAGGCGCTAATATAGCCCTATCCTTCAAATAGCTTGGATCGTCAGACGCCTCCTTATACATTGGATATGTGCTTTCAATGATTTGAGCAATAGGATCATCAGATGGCTGAAGCAAAATGTCTTCATGTATGTCTATAAGTGCACACCTGTCATTCGACCCCCCGATAGTTCCATCTCCGATATTGGCTATCCAATCTGCAAACCGTGCAAGCTCATCACGTTCGTCCGAATTAGCAAGTCCTTGAAAACGCATATTTTTCGTAAGTCTAAGCACAGTACAACTCCTCCATATGTCAGAAGCATTAATGGCAGCATTGACTATGTCCTGACGGCTACCCTTTGGAATGACAGGTAGGATTTGTCGAAAATCTCCACCAAAAACAACCGGCATCCCACCAAACGGTTTGTTGAGGTTCAAAGGATCAATTGCTCCGATAATACCCTGCAACGATGTCTGTACAGCTTCAAAACAATGTTTGTGCATCATTGGTGCTTCATCCCATATATTAGAGAAGCACGAATTATCAATTCCGCCAGAGGGCTTGCCTGATTGATGTTGCAAGTAGATTCCTGGTGGGGATTCAATGGTATAGCAAATCGAGAATGCGTTGTTCGCCCACCTGGCAACAAAAGCGACGCTATTTCGCTGGATGCGACACATAAGACTATACCGCCTTTGGATCTCAAAGCAGCAGATAAAATCCTCCACAGGACGTCTTCCCGGTTCCTCCATAACCATATACAAAAAGAGCCCTCCTTGGCCGGATTCAACAGAGGGCATAATTCTTGAGTAGACACTCCTCTGTTCGGCTGTCATTTTAAAATGTTAATTAATTTAAAATATGAGTTTTAATAAATTCAAACTCTTGTACGATGATAAGATAAGTGCAAATTAGTTAAGAAGTGGAGATTTTTCGTTGTGATAGCATCATAATCACCGTATATATCTATACTAATACATACAATGGGATTAAAAACAGATTAATACATATATTATTATTATTATTATAATATTAATATTAATTTAACCAAAATTTATTCAACCTTTCTTTTAAAATGTTGTTTGATTAAATGACGTAAAAAAAAATGGATTGAACCATTTATAAGTAATTAAAATGTTAATTAATTTAAAATATGAGTTTTAATAAATTCAAACTCTTGTATGATGATAAGATAAGTGCAAACTAGTTAAGAAGTGGAGATTTTTCGTTGTGATAGCATCATAATCACCATATATATCTATACTAATACATACAATGCGATTAGAAACAGATTAATATATAAATTATTATTATTATAATATTAATATTAATTTAACCAAAATTTATTCAACATTTGTTTTAAAATGTTGTTTGATTAAATGACGTAAAAAAAATGGATTGAACCATTAATAAGTGATTAAAATGTTAATTAATTAAAATATGAGTTTTAATAAATTCAAACTCTTGTATGATGATAAGATAAGTGCAAAGTAGTTAAGAAGTGCAGATTTTTCGTTGTGATAGCATCATACTCACCGTATATATCTATACTAATACATACCATGAAATTAAAAACAGATTAATATATAAATTATTATTATTAAAATTTTGACGTAAAAAGAAATAAATATGGATTGAACCATTAATAAGTAATTAAAATGTTATTTAAGATATTAATACAAATAATGAGCGATTTTCATTAATGAGTTATCCAATCTAATACTATCTCTACACCATTAATTGTATTATCTCTACAATTAATTTTGAATTGAGACTGTGATTTTCCGTCAGTAAAAAACTACCACGGCGAGATCATGTTTAACCTTTTATCATTAAGATCAACATCTATTATTATATAACACCAATTAATATAAATATTATAATCAAACAAATATTTATAAATATAATCCATTATGATAAATTATTGAAAAATCACGCAATATAATCCATTAAATGTACTTGATTCAGTTATTGTTAATTCCGTAATTTTTTATTTATATAATCTTTTATTTGAAAAATTTGTTAAAATTTGTATTAATTTATATCTTATATCATGGCATTCTACCAATTTTAAACTAATATACAGTAGAAGTTAAAAAGAAAATGTTCAAATTTTCACATTCGTGCGACATTGAATAAAAAAAATAAAAATATTCAATGACATTTTATAACGATAACA